ATTAGATTTTTATAATTTACTTTCAAAGGATGGATCCAATATAGCGTCTCGGAATTTTGAGTAATTTTGGAGTTTTCTGTAAATTTTTTTATAAAAATTACATTTAAATTACATAAAAAATTGGTATTTAGGGGTTTAGTAGGTCACTGATAATGTATACGTCATCAAATTTTGACATTCACATCCGTTATGTTAAATCCGTCATTTTGAATATGAATATAAAAAATTTCATGACGTATGCATTATCAGTGATCTACAAAACCCTTGTATATCAATTTTTGTAAAAAATGATAGAAAACTTCAGAATTTTTTCGACTTTGAGCCGCCATATTGGATCTGCCATTTTGAAAGTGAACTATAGGCCTGTTCTTTGCAACTAGTGCAATATATTGAAGTGAGACAAATATACGTTTTGTCACTCTAACTTATTGCACTAGTTCAGCAGTGCTACAAAGAACAGGTCTTATAAAAATCTAATAACGGATTCGTAATCAGATACCCGAGAAAACTGCGTATAAGAATATTCATAAAAAACCGATAAAAAACCCAAAAATTTTGAGCCACCACATTAGATCCGCCATTTTAAGAAAGAATTATAAAAATCTATAGATTCGTAATCAGCAATCCACAAACCCCTGTATACCAATTTTCATGAAAAACCGATGGATAGAAAAATGTATGCCTGAAAGGGTTAATACAAAGGAAGTTTTTATTTAAAGTAACTTAAGAATAGATAGATCATAGAAGGAAGAGGGCGTTTTGTGGCGGCGGGACGCCGTGCGTTCGGGCTGCGCAACGACGCCATACCGATTAGATAAACGTATATGAAATAGTACCTAGATTAGAGATCTAACCCAGTGCGTTATATTACATGCGTTAATATGTGAAGGATATGATTCTGCATGTCTGCATGCCTATACGTGAGCGCTCGACTTCACGTCGCCCAAAGTCAAAGTTACCGCACATGATTGGGGTAGATCTCTGGCACCTCTGTTCGCGGCAACGTGCGACTCGTGCGAATTCTAGAGCGCGGCAGAAACGCTTCGTCTGAACAAGTTCTTAGATGCGCGACACTTAGGCCAATCGCGCAGTTTGCGGCGGCGGCGGCGGCGGCGAACGGTCGCGCAACCTTTTCGAAATAAAAACTGCAAAAAGATGATGGAAAAAGGACGGAACAAATAATGGAGTTGACATACATATTTTTAACATGTATGTTACATATATGACTTTTAACTGAGAGAGACGCACCTGTATGTAAATTATTTATAATATATTTTCAATTTATAAATGACAAAAAAAGGGAAAAAAGTGACAAAATTTGAAAAAGGTGACTAAAAGTGACCTCTTAAAAAAAGGAATAAAAAGGAAAAAGTGACTCGCTGGCAGCCCTGCGATTATGACAAGAACAGAAGTAATAATATATCATGTAAATGTTGGCCTTTTTATATTCGTATCTAATAAAAAAAAGTATTATATATATGTTCTATTTGAATCCTCCTTTGCAGATTTATAACGTCAGATCTCACTAAACAGCAAATATCAGTATCAGAACATAATATCGATGTAATAATGCTTAACACAACAATATGACTTTTACATAACATACCGTGTTACCAAATATACAAGCTGCAGAACTTTTGCATTAAGAAAATATTTATGCTGAGAGTTCCAGATATCAATTTTGAAATTCCTTGAGATCAATATCCCAATTGCTAAGTAACCTTAACATAAAAAAACTAATATATTAATAATATATATATTAAACAAAAAGTACAAAATTGATTTCGTTAGAAAGTTTGAATATTTAAGATTTCAAATGTATTACACGCACACGTACACACACATACACACACATATATATTTAACTAATTTATAAAAAAATTTTAATTTACTAATAATATATTTTTGCAACATGACTGAAATCATTCAGTGACATATAAATATAAAGAACTTTGCCCATTTTCATTCTGGAGTTTCTAAACCATCCGCGTCTAGTCATCAATAATATATAATATTGTAGATATAATAATGGTAGTATTTAAGAAAAAATAGTTTTAGATCCTCAAACCTCCGCCGAAAGTAGTTCTGACCTCTTAATTATATCATTTTATTCGTTCGTTAGTTCATCATTAGAGCTGTCCAACACATTTATTATTTATCTTTACACGATGTTTTTTCGCTTTTAATTATGATTTTTCCTAAAGATTTATTTTTGCATCCAAGGCACTTTCTTGTGGTGACGGCGGTAACAAACAAATGTTGAAGAAAAAAATTCTATTACAGAATATTGCATATGTAAGAATGGGACTTGTACTGTAGGCTGCTGTGCTCATATTATGTCAATAATTTGGTATCTAGGATATGCTAAATACCTTTCTAGTGATATAGGGATATCTTCTGAGCATAGCAATGACATATTTATTTTATTAGACAGCTCTGATGATGAAATGAATAAAATAACATCATTAGGAGGTGAAAACTACTTTCGGCGGAGATTTGAGGATTTAAAACTATTTTTTTCTTAAATTTTACCATTATTATTAAAATTATATATGATTGATGACTAGACACGGGTAACTTAAAACGGATGAAGTTCTTTGTTCCAATTTGTGATATATGTGTGTTCCTATTTCTGACAATTTGTGATATATGTGTGTTCCTGTTTCTGTTACTGGTTATTTATTATTAACAAACAAAAATTAAGACTTATTATTATTATTGTTGATATTACTGTTTCCATAGAGAATACAAAAGTTAAATAGTAAAAATTATTTATGTAATACCTTATTATTTGTGATAAGTTATAGATTAGACTCATATTTATACTATTTGCTAAATTCCGGAAGAGTAAGTTATAATATTGATATTATTTTTTATTTCATAATAAATGAGATTTACAAATCACACTATTCCTTAAAAATAAAAGATTTTATATAATTTTATGTATACAAATTCTTTTATTCTCTCTTATAATTTATATTTGAAATTTATACTTATAATTTATACTTGAAATTGCTATTAAAATCAAGCGTATTACTAATTCTTTTTGCTCATATACACACAATACATACACAATACTAATCTTTTTTATTGAATAAAAAATGACATAGTTAAAAATTGCTATTAATAATTTTACTAGTTCATCAACAATTAGTTTAATCAAAATTTAATGAAGTAATTCTAAATTTAAGCATTCACTACATGTGATATTTGCTTATTTGTTGCCATAATGAAGAAAATGCAAGTATCTGCAATAAAAAGTATATTCACAATTCGCGCATCAGTAGAATAATATACATATTATGATATTTATATGATTTTATATCATTTATTTTAATATAATCAGTAATGTCAGGGGAAACAAATAAATATTCTAACACATGCATTCTATACAAATAAATGATATACACGCATTAACATGAAAAATACGTATTTTATTATTTTTTCTATTTAGAAAATATTTTTTTAACATTTTCTTAACTCTGATAAAATAATTTTAATTGCTTGAAATTAGAAAATAGAAATTAGAAATAGAAATTAGAAATTAGAAAAAAATTTTTTAATCTGAAATAATAAAAAATCTCAAATAGTTATATATAATTTAATATTAATCCCTAACTTGTAAGATGTCTGTAATTATTGCAATTAGCGTAATATACTTATAAGCATAATATTTCACTACAGATTTTAATTTTATTCGAAACTTGTTGCAAAAGTTAATACATAAAATTTTGAGTGAAAATACATTAGGATAAATATAAATATTAGGATAAATATAAATTCGTCATCAGATTATTTATTTAAAAAAACGAGCATGATTGTCAAAAATTGGTACTCTGTCATTAATTGGGATTTACCTTATCATTTTCGTTATATATTGAACAATACAATATTCCAGTTAATTTTCACATATTTTTATTTTATAAAAGTATCTTTAATTTTGCACTACCAATACGATATAATACGACATAAACTTTATATAAAATCAATATTTTACCTGTATAATTCTCAAGTATGGCATTTTTTTAAATCAAAACAATAACCTGATTGATGCTTTAACTTAAAACTGTTTTATAATTATAATTTGTGATTACAAAAATCTACAACAATTACGACAATTTGCAAATGCAAATATTCTCATTGTAAAAGTTCTCATTTTGTTATTCTTTTCATTATGTAGAATGTTGATCATAATATATATACTGCTCTATTGATATGTGAGTTGTCAGTGTATCTTTTGTTGCATAGATACTTTATTTTCTTCATTGTAGCAACAAATAAGCAAATATCATCACATGCAGTAAATGTTTGAATTTTAAATTACTTTATTAAACTTTGATTAAACTAATTGTTGGTAAACTAGTAAAATTACTAATAGGAATTTTTAATTGCTAATGTAATTTTTCATTCAATAAAAAAGATTAATACTGTGAACAAAAAGAATAAGTAATATGCTTGATTTTTTTATAGTAATTACAAATATAAATTATAAGAGAGAATAAAAGAATTTGTATTTTTTAATAATAGTTTACGTTTCATTTTCCATGTTGGCAACATCTAAGATAAGAGGCCCCAAAATCATCTTGAAAAGTGTGCTAAGATGTCTTGAGCATATTATGGATGTGATCTCAGGACAACCTAGAACACAGTTTCAATGCTATCTGGGTTTACTGGTTGAGTTAATTTTATATTGACTTAATCAGAATTTGGGGAAATTGTTCTTACTCTTTGATTACTAATAAACCGGTATAATTTAATACATTATCGTATTATATTATGTATATTATACAAAATGTTTGTACAAAGTTATATTCTTGATGAAAAAAACATTATAGAAAGAAATGTTTCAAGATTTTATAGCTCAACTTTTAACAAAGAATATATAGTGCTATGTAAGAATAGATAAAAATTAATAAGCATCTTGTATATTTTATAACATTTTACATATCTAAAATAAAAATATTAAAGTAATAAAGATAAATAATTTTATTTATGTTTACCAATTGCATCAGGAATTACTCGCTCAGGATATAAATCTGTGAGAAATAAACTATTTACTAAAGTAGACTTTCCAAGGCCAGATTCTCCAACAACCATAAGTGTAAACTCAAAACCTTTTTTCACAGATTTTCGATGTACTTGATTAGGTAAATTTGCAAATCCTACATATCCAGGAGTCTCAAGACTGGCAAACTAAAAACAAAAATGACATGTACTTAAAAATTGATTATGGTTCTTTTTAATACAAAAACTATAAATATTTTATGGTCTTTTGTTAAAAAGAAAATAGAATCAATATAGGATATATAATAATCTTTGTTAAGAAATACTTAAAAAAATACTGTACAATAAATATAATAAATTATAGATTGCAATACATAAAGTCAGTTGCTTTTATAAAAAGAAATATTTTTAAGTTATTGTCAATTGTTGTTGTTAATAAGTTATTGTTATTTATTTGATATAACTAGATTGTATATTCAAGTGAAACATAACCATAAACATAACCATAATCCTACATAGCAGAAGTATCCAAAATATATCATAAGGATATTCTAAAGATATATTTGGGATATATGATATCTTCAAGATATCGCTATGATGTATTTGAGATATTCTTGCTGTGTGGGATACTGATTAATAAAAACAAAATTTATTTTAGAACTCTAATTTCATTTTTTATTTTATTTGGCAAATATGACAAAGCTTTTACTTAATACTGTGTATAAAACCTGAAACCACTACAAAAATATTAAAGACTAATCTAATATTATAAAAAACAGCTTAACTTTGATTTAAAAATAAAAGATAATATATTAAAATAATGATACACCGTTACACAAATAATTAGGAATTTGGAAATAATTGAAATTGACATTTCTTGATTTTATGTGTTGTAATAATGTATTTCTATTTCCTATAATAATGTTCATAACAAAATTTTTTCATAAATATGTGAAGAAATGTAAAAAATAATTATTCTTGTATATGTATATAAATATGTAGTAAGTATATAAATATGTTATAATGTATTAAAAATTATTTTTATGTAACTATACAAATTAGTATAGTTACAAATAAATAAAAGATACATGTAAATAAGTATAGGAATATATATTTAAAAAAATCATGTTAATATATATTCTTAAATAAGAAGATACACCACTATAGAGAGCAAAAAATCAAAATATTTAATACTTACCGTTTTTACACTTTCGCTAGACATTTTACAGAGTTATTTGATTGTAAATGGTCGAATGATGAAGTAAGACTATACGCTCACTACCTATATTTCACCTTTTCTTTCTTTTCCTTATGTTCGTTAAGCAGTATGTACGTTAAATAGTTGAACAAACTTTGGATTAGTAAAAAAGAACCGCACTAACAGGTATCGCGTTACGGTACGATAAGCACAACAAAACGAGATAGGAAAAATGCATATAGATACATATGTGTCAGATAGGTTATTTAAGTTAAAAACATTTTTCTTTGATCGGCATTATTCGTACAAAATTTTGCTCGAAAAAATAGTTTTAAAACTTCTACCAGAGCCGTTGAAGATATACTTGTTTGTCAAATTGGACAAATGAAAAATTATCTCACGAATATCGAAGACGAACAAGAAACACATCTGTACTGACTTTACAAGATAGAGAGCATGACGCTCGATAAGGAGAGGGGAGATTAAAGGGAACATTACGAATATGAGTAAGTTAAGGCGTGGCATCTAAAACGATTAAACAATATTTCCTTAAGTTTTCCTTTACAAAGAATTATAATATATAATTTTATAATATCTATTATAGTTTATGATAGTTTCAAAAGTTATATAGTGTACATAATTATATAGTTATATAGATATATCACGTTAAATAGCTAAATCTGTCAACATATTTATTTATACTTATATACTATTATAAAATAACATGATTTAAAATAATATACATGCAGTTTTATTATGTATAGGATAAAGTCTAGTTATTATATGTACTTATTAAGCATACAAATCAACACAAATTACATACAAATAAAACATAAGCAAAATTTAACAATAATAAGTAGTATTTTTATTTAAGAATTTGAAATATATATCTAGTTAAATCTAGCTAAATTTGTCAAAAGTAGACTTTACAAAGCATTTACTATATATATACAAATTTTATCAGCAACAATTGATGAAAAACTTGTTATATTTAATTATGTTTACAGAAAGTTAAGAGAAATCCAACATAAACTATTAATATAATATATTAACATAAACTATTATATAACATGATTTTATAACATGATATATTAATGATATAAATAGAAAAAATATGTATTACAATATGAGAACAGATTGAATAGAATCGAGTAGATATGCTAAACAAAATCTGATAATAAATAAGTGACAGAAAATAAAATCTATGGTCTTTGTTTACAATATTTTTCTTTGATTAAAATTTTGTACAAAAGCATAAGTATGACCAAGCAATTAGAAGTTTGCTTTCAGTATGCTTTCAAGAACTATAATAATTATATAACTATAACATATAAGCAGTTTTAATGTTGTGTGCATAATTTGAGAAAGATATTAAAATTTGTAATAAAAACTTATATTTGTTTTTTCTGTAATAAATGCAATCTTATTATTTCTTTATCAGTATGATCATTTTTTTAATCCAATGATATCCTAGGATATTTCTCAAGGCAGAATTATTTTCTGTGTTTTTTTTTAAGTAAGATATCCTATAGTTATTCTAAGAAAATATCCTAAGATATTTCTTAAAACAAAACTGTATGATACATAAAAAAAATTGATATTGATCTTGAAAGAAATATTTCATAATAATATTACTATGTTATGCTGTTCAATTTATTCATAATGATGTTGATACGACATAAAAAATTATGTATTAGAAAATGTTATATGCTATTGAATATCTTTGGAACTATGTTCTATTAATTATTTGTTACTCACTGGGTAAGATTTTAGAGGTTTAGACATTTTGAAATATAATATATTAATATATGCTATAATTTATATATATATCTACACTAAATTTATATTTATATCTATAATTATGTTTGGAAAATGTTTTATAGACTGGTTCAAATCAATATAACCAATGTTTTTATTCTGCATACATATATATATATATTTTTTTTTTGTCTCTACATATTAAGGGAGATTGACAGGCAATCATAATAGAAATATAATCACTGAATGTTTACAGAATGTCTTTATTCTCATTAAAGATATAATTCTTTTTTAACAAAATTCAAATTTCTCGCAAACATTTTGAAATCTACTCGCAAGCTATTGCTATTCTAGTTCCCTTTCCATAAATATTAACATGTTATTAAAAAATTATTATATATATAATGTTTATATGTAATTATAAATAATGTATAGAATTTTCATAGCACATTATTTAAAAATTATATTTCTTATATTTATTTATTGTAACTGGATTTTCTTAATACACTACACAAATATGAGGCAAACAGCTACTTTATTCAGGAAATAGTATCATATACAAGCATTGTTTTACATAATATTTATTATTATATATTTCAAGTTTTTATTTCCTATTCTCGCGCGATGTGCCATCTAATTCAGTTTTTCGACATAATTGTTAGCGCATGGTTAATCCATTACATAATATTAACATATAATAATGATAATCGGCGCGTTCTTTTTGTATTGTTCTTAATGTTTCTGAAATTCTGTTAAACCCGCATGTTATATTTCACAAGTTTTCATAATCGACAAACAAATCGGAAAACGATTGTTTAGTAATATCAAATGATTATTATTATTTTTATAATAAATGTATGATCTCTTTCTCTATCTTTCTTCTCTCAATAAATGGTTGATACACACAATGACAGTGTTGTACGAGATGGAACATAAAAATTCTAAGGAAAAAGAAAACCAATAGTTATGTTTCTTTGTACTTATTTAAACGAGAGCTAGTTTCAAGTACAGATAAAAATACTTGTGTAAGATGGAATATACGTGCCGTGACATTTTATATTTGAAATTATTTGTACACATATTCTCAATATTTTTACAGACACATAACCCAACATTAAATTGACACGAGTATTAAAATGTACTCAGTCGCGTAGCTTTTTAACAATCATTATTTATGTATATAAATCACTAGGCGCTATTGGAGCATGCATTGTGCATACACACCTTTTACAAGTAATTATAATTACAAGTATCTTTCAATCGACAAGTTAATTTAAATACAAAAGACATCAGAAGAAAAATGTTTATTTCTTATTAAAAATGCGCTAAACATAAAAGGATTGTAATAAGATTATGTCTATGGCATAAATCCTTTCCTGCGGATAACACCGTAACCTTGTTAGAGTTAAAAAAAGATTATAATTTTATGTGTCTCTGAAGAACTATCACTAGATTTGAGGAAACTATAAGAGATTTTTAAATTAGTTTCCTTCCAAATTTTGTCAAAAATGTTTCTTCCCCTATACATAACTTTCTTAGCAGGGAAATTAAAACTATCGATGATATATCATTATTTTTACTTGTCCATCATTTTCAATTTTTCTTCTCGGGGTTTCGCACCTCCATAAATGGAACTATTTTTAGTTGATTCTGCAAGTGCATTGACAGGGTCCTTAATAGTTCTTGGTTTAAGTTCCAAACGTTTTCTTCCAGTAGTGTCTAAAAACAAATCATGTTTAACTACTGTATATGTGTAATAATAATTCTTTATGTATAGATATATTAAAAAATTCTAATATTTTTTTATGATAAGTTTCTTGCCAAACTTTAGTCCAATTTTTTTTTCTTTTCAAAATTGATAAAATAAAACATCATTTATTTTACTTTCTCATTTTTAATTTAATTTTTATACAATGTGTACCAATTGACAATATCTTGGAAATTAAGAAAGATATAACAATTATTTCAAACTAAAATTATAGAATTTCAAAGAGAAAAGGATAGTAATATTCTATTTGATCTTAAAATGACTTTGAAAAACTCTGTCAAGGTCAAATTTAATTTTTTAATCATGTAAAAGTCAAATTTCTCGCTAAAGAAGGATGAAAAATGTAAACAATAGTCATTGGAAAATAATTTGTTATTACAGAATAAACTTTTTAAAGTAAGTGTTAAATCTGCATTCCAACTCGCGTAATACAAATTTTGGCTGTTTTCATCAAATGTATATGGTATCTATATATAGTATCAATTAGGGACCCGAATCTAATCGGGATCGGAATCGGTTTTTTCAGTTAAACTAAAACTGTAACGAAATTTTACGCAATCTAAAGAATTGAATTTTTATAATAAAATCATACATATTTTTTTTTAATATAAATCGATTCTAACCTTGCATTATATGTATAAAAGTACAGGGATAAAAAAACTATTGGAAAGTAAATATCTGTCGATATATTTTACATCTTGATACTTTTTAGTGTCAAAATATAAAATATCTCGTAAACTATTCATTTTTCGACAATCTTATCTCTTTTTTTTGTGTGAAAGGTAATTTTGAATAGTTGGTACAAAGAATCTGTATCAGGCTAAAATTTTATTACAGTAATAATCCAATAAGATATTGCAAGAATGGTTTCAGCTTTTTGGTTAATTACTGATTAATACTTATTAATACTTATTGGTTAAGTACCGATTTTTTCAGTTTTTAAAAATTGTATTATATACACACACACACACACACACATAATATTATATAACTATATATTGTACACGCACACATGCGTGCGCGACAATTTTTTTGTGCACCACATAAACAACCTATTTTATGCAATTATATATAAAAAAAAGAAAATAAAGCGATTTATGAAGAAAGTCTCTTAAATAAATCATGGTAACAAACATGTTAAAATAAAGTAATTGAAAAGTGAATATTTTACAACGTATTTTATATTTTATATTGAAACATGTATCAGTATATATATAATATAATGAAGGAGATAGAGTTTAAAGGGCAATTTTTTAAAGGTCCTTATATATAAAACAAAAAGTCATCTAAATCATGCAATTTGATCTAATGATTCTTAAAATATATCATTTTGTTTGGCCCACCACATTTGTATGTGCATATCTAATTTATAATTTAGTAGTTATATATTATAATTGATATAAGCTAACAACTTACAGAAATATAAATGACCAGACAAAAACTTCAAATAAAAATAGTCAACGGTCAATGTCATATAAATGCGAAACGTATAAACAAAATAAAAAAAAAACAAACTTGTAAATATAAAATAAGAACTAGAATAAAAACTGAAAAAAATCGTACTCCCAAAAAGTAATTTAACGGTACGATTCCGGTTTTTTAGATTTCATAAAATTTCGTTACAATTGTGGTTCGACTAAAAAAGCCAGTTATGATTTCGATTAAATCCAGTTTTGATACTATGTATAGACATTCGACGAAATCAGCAAAATTTTGTTTTACACGAATTAGAATGCAGATTGAATACTTTAAAAATTTTACTCCATAAAAACAAATTATTTTCCAATGATTATTGTTTACATTTTTCATCTTTTTTTAGCGAGAAATTTGACTTTTACCTGATTAAAATGTTTTTTTAAGGTTTGATATAAAAGAAAATAACATTATGTATAATTTTTAAATGTTTTTGATTCCTATGTTAAAAATAAAAGAAAAATATGTTTCTATTTAAAAATATAAAAACGTGCTTAATATTAAAAACTATTTTTAAACTATATAATTTTAATATTTAATTTTTTGTTTATAACTTGTTTAAAATATTAGAAAAGGATGAAAATTATACCAACTGTGATAGTATAAAAGCACTTTATGTACATATGATGTATGTACATCTTGTAATGATTACTTAGAGAGTATAATATGGTGTTTCTGGAGTAAAACATTAGTTTCCTTTTGTAAACATTTAGAAAAAGTAGTTTTTCAATTACTATTTAGCAAGGAAGATTTTTTTACTAATGTAAGACAACAGAAGTAATAGAAGTACACACTATTAAAACTAACAGTTAACACTAATTATTTATGATCTAAAAAGTGTTGAAATTTTAACACTTATATATCAAGAAAGATTTCTACTTTTGACTTCCAGAATATATTATTAAAGTATTTTATAGTGGTGTATTGCATGTACGCGCGTCCGTATGTGTGCATACGTACACGTGTTGCATATTTCACATCTACATACCCGGAAGGGGATCTTTATAAGGTTCATCGTGAAAAGGTTTTCGATCCGAACCACTGCCACGAAAAGGTCTATTACTGTACGATCTAGTAGAAGCACTTCGTGACCAGTCACGGCTTCCACTGCTAGGATCTTCATTAAATTGGCCATAATTGCCTCTATTACCTCTAGAATCCCATCCACTACCTTGTCTACTGCTTCCATGTGAGCTTCTATCACTATATCCTGTTATATATCAAGACAAATGTTAATATCATTCAATGTAAAACTTGAATATCTTTATATACAATGAAAATCACGTATTACTTTAATGTAAATTGGTTTAATTTAAATTGGTAAAATAATGAGTAACTAATCATTTAATACATTTATGCTTATTATTTACGTTATGCATTGCATAACGCTTACTCGAATACATAGATTTGCTACCGAAATCATCACTATATCCACTGCGGCCAGAATCTCTTCCTTTAAAGCCTCCACCACTACTGCCACCACGACCCCTCCTGTCAAAGCCACCACTGCGGTCATTTCTTTTTAGTTCAGCTACATCAATCTTAATCACGCTTTTATCTACTTCTACCGCTCCATCCATTTCCAATGCAGCTTCCAAGTCAGCCAAATCTTCAAACTCGACATAACAAAAACCTTTAAATCTAAAAATAAAGTACAAGATTAAAATTTTTAATAATTCATATTTTATTTTTCTCTAAAATTAATATATATTATACATACTTGTCAGTATCTCTATCTTTAACCAATCTGATAACTTTAACATTGAGTTTCTCAAAGATTTTGTCAACATCGCCTTGTACAACACCATTTGGTAAATTCCCAACATATGCTGTATATGGAGGTTCTGTTGGCAAAGGTTTTCTGCTACGATATCCACTACTAGAATAATCTCTATAACATAAACAAAATTTCTTTTATTTTTATTAAAGCTATATATAAATACTAAAATTCTGGCTTATATCAAGAATTAAGCTATATATGAATATTACATTCTGTTTTATGGTGGGTATGAATTATTCAATATACAGTACAATAATAATTTAATAATTTTTAGAAAATTGATTTAATTTCAGACACATACAAGTTTAACAGCATATATCAGTCCAGAGTAGGAGAGACAAATATATGTAACAATTATAATGTTGCTTAATTATTACAACTATAGTCTTTCAAACAAAGTCAATAATTACACTTGTAAAGATATTTACTTTCATATTACTCTATACTAATATTTTGAGTTTAGAAAATTTAGTGAAGGAAATTATCAATACATATAATCTCAATGTGACGTGTCTTAATGTAACTTGTTAAAAATAAATTCATTACTATAATAGTAACTTTTTTAATAGAGTTTATCAATAAATTACGCTCGGCTGCTCCACGAAAACTGATCGCAATGCCAATCCTATGATCTGTGTATACCTAGTTACTATTACCCAGGAAACGATTTTTTTCCGAAATGCAGTACGCGAACAATGCATTATTCTAAATCTTGAAATGTTTTTATTGTTATATATTACATCATGAACTTGCTATTGTTACAATTAAGATGTTGACTAAATAATATAAAGTTGCGAATTGAAATCATAATGTCCGCAAAGTATTGTGCTGCACTAGAGCTTATAATTCACTTAACCTTAAAGTCAAAAAATATTCGTAAGGAACGTTTTTCTTCAACAGCAAGACGCACCGCTTATGCATTATGACTGTATTGTTTCTGGAGCTTCTCAATCGTTTGACACTATCGAAAAAACAACTGATACTTGCCTCGAATCGTCGTAACTACCTCGACCAGCCATATTGGATGCACAGAACTGACCGGGACCGCGTGGGTCGGACGAGCTACTGTATGCGCAATATGGTATTTTTATTATGTATTACTGATAAAAGATTTCGAACTAATAATGTGACATACCGCTAATTAACTAATTAATCATTAAATTTAGATGTGATAGTATTACGAAAAATAGTTACGAAAGTTCAGTAATTTATGTTCTTTACACACAATTTCAATCATTGAAATATAACAATACTTGAACATGCACCGCTTGGCTAAAACAAGTCGACAGGAGATACGTTCCATTTGGAGGCTTAAAGTGCGGCTCCAATGGTCCGTAAACATTAGACCGGGTCGAATTAGGAAAAAATTTGCGGATCAAAATAATGCGGAAAAGTTGTTACTCATAAATACAAGCATAATGCAAAACAATTTTTTGAAATTGGTCAATATCTTCAATCGCGCAACGCGCTCAAAGTTTTTGATTTTTTATCCAAAATGTGAAATGTTATGAAAAGATCAAAATAAAATGGGAATCATCCAAAAGCGGTAAAACTCAACCAAATAGGTTGATTGAAGGTTAAAAATTGTAAAATAGCAATTGAGAGAGGCAGAACCTCCTCCCCCAATTTTGTCATTCTCGACAAAATTGGCCAAAAATCTTGAAACAGCAATTTTTTATTTGTCGGTTCAGAACACATGTCAGAGGCCGGTATTCATAGGGCGGTATTCATAATCGGATCTTATATTTAAGGGTGCGTTCAGATTCCTCATCCGGGTGCACTCTATTACTAGAAACACTATAATATATGTGACATATACTATAGCACTTCTAGTAATAGAATACACCCGGGTGGGGAATCTGAACGCAGCCTAAGATTGTCTTAAAGGCCAAATCACACTAGCGATTGGCGATAGATGATTGACGATTGAAGATTGGAACTTGACCAATTGGAACAAAGCAAGACTGAAGCTTGTTGATTCGTTATTAAGATGCCATCTAGATTTACATCGTGACTTAAGGGTTAATTTCCAACAAGAGACACAAGTCGATACAAGTATCATCCTATCTTTGGGTGCTTTCCAATTGCTTAACGCATCTTGACACACACGTACACAAAACCAGTTTATTGGTCACATATTATCTAAAATATCTTGTAAGATAATATGCAACCAATAAGCTGGTTTTGTGTAACACAGTGTACGCAACTGGAAAGCACCCTTTGTTACTCCCTAAACGTGGAACAAAGATAGAATGATGTTTGTGTCGACTTGTGTCTCTTGTTGGAAAGCAACCAAGATGACGTAAAGATCGTCCTATTAGTTGTAACCCGATTGCAAGCAGACGCAATTCTTATTGCGGTAGCCAATAAAAAGCATCAATGGTGTTATTAACGTTTCTGATTGGCTATCGCAACAAGAGTTGCAATCGACTTGCAACTAAAGCCCATTCTACAATTGCGTGAACGTGGATGTAAGTGGTTGTAAGTGATTACGACAACCAATCAGAGTAAAGCAAGAAGTGAATAAAACATTCGGATTGGTTGACTCTTACGTTCACGACTACGCTTACGCAATTGTAGAATGGGCTTAATAGGTTTGTCGCGTCACATCCCCCAACGTGCGCCTACTCGCTCTAACGCACTCTGATTGGTCCGCGTGGTGACGTAAACCAATCAGAGTGTGTTGGAGCGAGTAAGAGCACGTTGAGGCATGCGACGCGAACAAACCTAATGTAGAACTTTAAAGTTGCGCCTTAAACATATACTTGATAAAATTATTCCCAAATAAGATCGTCTTAAATAACATCTTAAGGTAACTAATCATCAGTCTTAAGCTCGTATTAAACTACCGACTGCACAGACCGACTCGACTGCATATTGTCCAGAATCTGAACGGACCAATCACAGCGAGGCGCCGATTGACTGGATCGGCCGATTCGCATTTAAACTTTAGGCCGCCCGTCCCACGGAGCAGAAATTTTCAGCGGAATGGAACGTGCGGAGTTAGCACGACCAATCACAGCCGTTCCGCTTTTTTTCCGGCGCTTTTTCTATTTTCCTTGTGTCTCATGGAGCGGAATACGCGGAAGCGGATCACGCGGAATACAAAAAGTAGACTTTTTAATGTTATTTCTTACGTTTTTAATAATTTTAATAATATTTTATACAAATGATATAATATATGATAAATTAGTAAAGAGTAACATTAGTTTCTCAGTAAAATACTTTTTATGAAAATATGCAACTATTTTACAATTGACTAAAACATAATTCCGCTGCCGCGTTTACCGCTTCATGGGACAGAAGGAAAAGTACATCAGCAGAATTGCGGTGATACATTGGTTTGGTTTACATCGTGCACTTGATACGCGTATTAAATAATAACTTTCTATTAGATAATCTTAATATCGACGATGTATATAAATAACAGTATATTAAGCTGGTTTAATATTGATCAAGAAGACTTATTGTATTGATTGAATGCGTCGTCGTTGACATGCATTGTCAATATTAAGATTATTTAATAGAAAATTACTATATACCCTTATAGAAATATCATACTAAGAATCATTGATAATTACTTATTTTCAAGTATTTTTAATACTGAAAATAAGTAATTATCAATGATTCTTAGTATGATATTTCTATAAGGATAGTACGTGTATCAAATGCACGATATAAACCGAGCCATTATGTAGTACAATAAAATGAGATCTGTTGTGATTAATTATGGAGAATATATGATTTTTGTCGACTGTGGCTGTTAATTAAACATATAAACATATAAACATATTCACATATTATATATAATTGTTTATTACAATTATCAAAATATTAATATCTTATTAATTACGATCCCTCCACTCATAATTTCTAAACGAAATAATAAAGAATGTCGAAAAAATATGTATATAATAAATGTATAAGAAGCAAATGAGATATGTAAGATATGTTGAGGTTATCGGCGACTACCCTTATAGAAATATCATACTAAGAATCATTGATAATTACTTATTATCCAGTATTTTTAATACTGAAAATAAGTAATTATCAATGATTCTTAGTATGATATTTCTATAAGGGTATCTTTATTTTTTCCGCAAAATTGCAGCTGTAAAGGTGCCTTTACATGGGAGTATCGAGCGTCGAGCGTTAAACCGGTAGCCAATCAACGTGCCACTTTCCGCAACAACTACAAGTATACTTCTGGAACCTGATACGTTGATTGGCTAATGTTTTAACGCTCGACGCTGGAACGCTCCCATGTATTGGCACTTTTGATTATAGCGAAACGGTACAAAAAAGAACAGAACGACTGTGATTGGTCGTACTGGTTTCACGTGTTCCGTTTCGCGGAGAATTTCCGCCCCATGGGACATCATCCTAAGTCTATTTTTCGAGTTGGCGACTCGAGTCATAGCCAATCATATGTTAGTTCATATGATAACGCAACTATTTTCTTCTTTCTTCTAATATTTTGAGGTATCTTAAAAGAAAGTTTTATATTTCTTGACATATATGCCATTATTTCACACAGAACTTAACCTAATGACAATGGGTGCATTCAGCGAACTCAACAGTTACACAACTGTTGAGCAATTCATCAATGTAATTGATCTAGATTTAGATATCTAATAGTAAGAACCAATAATCGCTAATTGCTCACTGAGCGCTTTTTCCGCTGAACGCGCCTATTTATTGCACTTTTTGTCCTCTAGCAAATGTCACTAGTACGATCAGTCGGCGGCAGAAGTCAATAAATGTGATTGATTGACTGGAGTCGGCGATCGTAGTCGGCAGTCGAGTCGGCCGGTGCAGTCGGTAGTCTGATACGGGTTTTAGGGCCGTGGCACACAGAAAAACTTAAGCAGTAAAACGTAAGCACAAAGCAAAATGACCAATCACAGTCGTTGATTCTTGGACCGTAAGAAGAATCATTGTGATTGGTCAATTTGCTTACTGCTTACGTTTTACTGCTTAAGTTTTTTTGTGTGCCACTAGCCAAAGGTAATATCTAGTTTCATAGTCACAACTTAAGAACAATCTTAATGGGTACTTTCCAATTGTAATATCCCTAGACACTTTCATGCACAGGGCGACACAAGTTGCATTCTAATTGTCGTAATCGTCGATACTACACATCTATATTCAGCTCGAGGGCTACTAGGCGGCTATGTAAACTAGTGTTTTCTAGTAAAAATTAAAGTTAATAAGCGTACTGGCTTGAAAAGAGACTGGCATTTGCGATATGAAGTGGATAATATCTTTTTTATTATTTATTATTAAAAAATACCAAAATATAAGTATTGTTGAAAACTAATTCTAACCTTATCCGACATACATACACATTAGTACACACTTTGTTCTAATTGAATCGTGCACAACGTTACACTTTGTGCATTTCTGTGTACATATGTGTTAAGTAATTATGGCCCCTGCACACAGGACGCAGTAATGCTTGCCGCGCGGCGGAAGTTCGCGCGACAACCAATCAATATACTGCTTTCCGCAATAATCTTCTAGCTCTTACGGAAAAACTACATGTTGATTGGCTGTCGCGCAGAATTCCGCCGCGCGGCAAACATTACCGCGTCCTGTGTGCAGGAGCCATTAGAAAGCACTCAATATTATGTACTGGGTGTGTTCCCAATTAGCGCGTCACGCGTTGCGTCGTCCGAGTTAAGTCAATCAAATCGTCCCATTTTATTGGGCGTAAAGTTACGCAATAAAATGGGACGATTTGATTGGTTTAACTCGGACTACACGACGCGTGACCCGCTAAGTGGGAACGCATCCTAAGGCAAGTATTCATAGACGAATTTTTATATTTAAGATCGTTCTTTATGACATAATGAAGAGTAATAACTCGTTTTCGTCAAGTCCGATGAACTCTAAAGGGACGTCTACATTGAAAGTAAATAGCAAGAAGTAGGAAGTAAGAGTAAGAAATTGACCAACTACAGTCGAATGTGAGAAGAATAATCAACTATGATTGGTCAATTTCTTATTCTTACTTCCTACTTCTTACTGCTTACTTCCAATGTAGACGTCCCTTTTAAGCCCATTCTACAATTGCGTGAACGTGGTTGTAAGTGGTTGTAAGTGATTACGACAACCTATCAGAGTAAAACAATCAGTGAATAAAACATTCGGATTGGTTGACTCTTACGTTCACGACTACGCTTATGCAATTGTAGAATGGGCTTAAGGGACGTCTACATTGCAAGTAAGTAGTAAAAAGTAGGAAGTAAGAGTAAGAAATTGACCAACCACAGTTG